TACGAACACTCGTTGGACATTAGGGTCTGATGGATTGTTACGACTTGACGATCACATTTACATTCCTAACCTTTCTAATTTACAACTTCAAATTTTACATTATTTTCACAATCATCCACTATCAGGTCATTTTGGTCAAAATCGGACTCTGGAAGCCATTCGACAACAATACACTTGGCCAAAGGTTTGCGAATTCATTCACGATTATATCAATTTGTGTATGGTTTGCAGATGTAACAAACCTCGTCGACATATACCTTATGGTCTACTCAAACCACTTCCAGTTCCCGTCTGACCTTGGGATTCTATATCGATGGACTTCATTGAACAACTACCAGACTCTAAAGGAGGTGGATCGAAAGGATGTGGTGATTGGAAATGGGTTTTAAGTTGGTGGTTCGCGTAGCTAGTATCCCCTGGTTTACTAGACGTCCCAACGTCCAGACAATGAGTAAGGAGTCTTGAGTAGCTATTGAACAAATTTGTTCATGATTCCGCGGAAAGAATTCCGAGAATACAGACCCCCCGCAAAGGGGGTGAACTTTTCCAACACCATTCGATAATTTCACGGAAATAATTCCGCGAGGAAAAAAAAACCCCTTGCAAAGGTGGTGAAGAAAACACCACAGGAGCCTTCCGTGGAAGTAATTCCGCGAAGGAAGACCCCCCGCGAAGGGGGTGAAGACACCACTAGTTGACAACATTGTTGAATTTTTCCATAAAAAATCCTTTTAAGATGTGAGTCGACTGCGAAGTGAGTCGATGCCTTTTCCGAATCAATCATGAAAAGAGGTGCTCAGGTAAAAACCTTTTCAGCAACCAAAGGAAAGGGAGGGGTAGATGGTTCATCTAAGAAAAAATTAGTTCAATGAAGAACTAACAGCTAGCGCGAGCGTGTCCAAAGAAAAATCCGAAGGACTTTCCGAAAAATCGAGACACAGGTGACAGATCCCGCGAGGGATCAGAGCCGCACACAACCAATTTGTTCGCGAAAGCGGAAGACATCTAAAAGAAACAAAATGTTTAGTGGTTCGGAAAAAATTGTTTCTTGAAGCCCAGTCAACCAACGGGTTGTAATGGGTCAAAAAACTGTATCCTAAAACTGCTTAGCATAATGAATCCGAAAAAAATTAACATAAGATGTTAAAAGGGTAGTAGCAGCACGCCATAAATGAAAACCAATGAAGAACAAGTCTTCATGAAGGTTTTCGGGAGGAAGACCATTAAGGGTGATGATTGATGAAGTAACACTGGAGTTGGCATGAAGGATGTTTTATCGAACAAAATGAAGTCAATCGAAGCAATCTGAAGAGCCCAAACAAGGAGGTAAAATTGCGGAAAACATCAAAGAATTGTTCCGCGAAGTAAGAGTGAACTTGTAAGTAGAGAAAAAATTCATAATAAATGCATTGTCATTTTACAATGAAAGTGAGTTTACCCTTTTGAAAAGAGTGTGAAATGACGTTAGAAATAAAGGATCGACGTGACGAGTGTTAGTTTTAATATACTGTTAAGATCATGCAACTCCGGAATCGCGGAATGATCGCAATATAATTGCGGAATTGGTTGGGAATACGAGGGGATAATTCCCTCGCGAAGGGAGGAACGATTCGCGGAGTTATGGAAAGGTAGTTGGACATCGACACTACTATCGGTAGTGCCCTCAACACATCAATGGTCCAATATGAAGGTAGTAGCAGCATCAGTTCGCAAAGGTTGCTTCGCAGAACGTCAGAGCTGTGTTGAGAATGTATCACAGATAGTGAACATCTGTAATACGAAGAGAGAGCAGATCTAAGTCGATATTAAAACTACAGAACTACCTATTCGATGTTGTAGCTTTATACTATGCATTACATAAGCATTGCGAAGCGATACTAACTCCGAATAGACTAGCTTGTGGAGTAAAGAACAAAGGAAGGGATATAATAGGTATAGTACTCATCCGATAATGATTAGGAAAGATAATGAAGGATTCCTGGGCTTAGGAACTCTTCGCAAAGTAGGTAATTGGATTGTGGAATCGCAGAATAACTCGATTCACATACATATGGCAGTCACAAGTTGTTGAATCAGCATGGCAAGGTCTTGGGTGGTAGGAGGATGAGCCATGATGGGAGTGGTTTCAGCAGGGATGGGTTCAGGAGATGGGGATAATGGTTCTGGTGTAACTGAGATATCGATGATGATAGGCTCTGGAGATGGTGCGACAGGGTTGGCTTCAGTTTCTAGCTCAGGCTCTAGGATAGCAGTGGGGATAAGCACAGGAGAGGATCTAGCAGATGGTACAGCACTGGTAGGGTTTGAAAGTCTACCAACTCAGCTCGGAACTCAGCTTGGAATTCTGGGGATGACTATGAATCGTCCATTTTCTCAATCACTTGAAGTGATGGGAGCAAAGTTACAGTATCAGTTGGGACATGGATTTTCATTGCAGTCAAACCAAGTGTCATGTTCTTTGTCTGGATTATATTTAGAATGAATGTCGCACTGATCTTTAGTATCAAATGTGTGCTAAAATCCTGAACAATTGATGTCTGGTATAAACAAAGGCATAGTGGCAATGGAAGGTGGAGAACCAAGTAAGTCCGATTTCCACTCCTCATAGGATCAGTTGGAAAGGCTGATGGTATGAGTAAAGATCTTGACCTAATGTGGTGACAAAGGGAGAAGGCACAGAGGAGGCACAGGCTCAAAGCACAAACCAAGGTGAGAGGTGGGGCTAGCACCACACATGAAGGCTGAGAGAAATAAGGATCTTTAGACAACAGTGATAGTGCAAGGGCCAATCACTAGGGTCGCACAAGGAAAACTAGTTCCAAAGACCAAGTAAGTATATTGAGTGTTAATGAAGATACAAGTACTAACCTAGTTCCAAAGACCAAGAGGTCAAGATGGGGAACTAGGTTTCAACTACTGTACTATATATACAAGTGTTCAGATGAGTAAGTGACAGTGCGGGAAACCAATAGAAGTATCTAGAATGTGATAGAAAGCTCTGAAGGATGATAGAAGGATACAGAAGGTGTAGAAGGGTCCGGACAGATGAAGGTAAAGCAAAGAGGAAATGTAGGAGACAATGAAGTAAGTACCATATCCTGTATAGCATGTCATGACATATTCTGTAGTTATATTCCTTAGCTCTATTCTCATCTATTCTCCTTGGTCGCTAGACTAGTATTGGGTTGTTTTATCCATCCTCATTGCTTTTTCATCCTCTTGCTCATCAACTATCATGTAACACCTGATTATCTTTTGAGAGAGCTAGTGAGTTGCTGACAGATTGGTCAGTTCTGGTTCCTCTTGTATTGTCTCATTGGATACCACAGTGTTGGTATGATCTCTTCTGCTCCTTGTGTTGACCATGGTTGTTGAATGAGGAAGTGATGAAGATGATGTGCCGAGTTTCAGTTTAAATATACTGTTATGATTGTGCACCAAAGGATTGTTGAATCAGTATTGTGGGGTAAATTGTGGGAGGTGAATAAGCAAATGAGAATACTTCACAAAGGTAATGATCTCAAAGAGTGAATAGGACCTCAACTCCACTGTTAATGGAGTCCTCAACATGTCGCATGTCTGAGAGAGAAGAAGTAAATGTGTTCCATTTGCAATGACCTTTGTGGAACATACTGACAAGAGAAGAGATTTAAACAATGATACAGATAGTAGATGATCAATTGGTATCACTATTGAAGTGCTATCAAGGTTGATATTTAAACTGAAGAACTACCTATTTGATACTGTAGCTTTATACTGTAGGGTAACTCAGGATCACAAAGCAATACTAGACCCAAATGGGTTAGCTCATCAGGAAGAACAAAGGAAGGAATATAAAAGGAATAGTTCTCATCTGATAATAATGAGGAAAGATAAGGAAGGAGTACTTTGCATCAGAAATCCTTTGTGAAGGAAATACATAGTAGTGGAGGGATGTAAGTGATATATCTAAGGTGCAGAAGGAATTGCAAAGCTTCATAAGGACTTAGCTTTGCACAGATATAACACATCATCAGCTGACTACAGAACTCCAAGATTTTAACTGAATTTGATGTACATTGGGGATACAATAATGTTTGAGTGGAAGAGGGACATGAATGGAAAAGAGCATTTGCAACCAACTGAGAGCTCTTTGAACCTCTGGTTATGTTCTTTGGTTTAACAAATTCCCCTGCTACACTTCAAGCCTTGATGAATTCTATTTTTGCTGACTTAATTGCCTCTGGAAAGGTTGCTCTTATACTTAGACAACATCCTCATCTTCACCAAACCCCTGGAAGAACACTGAACCTTGGTTCATGAAGTCCTCACCTGCCTTGCCCAGCATGACCTCTACTTATGTCCAGAAAAATGCAAATTCAAACAATCATCCATTGAATACCTGGGACTTGTCATCAGTGAAGGGAAAGTATGTATGGACCCAGTGGAAATAGAAGCAGTAAAAGACTGACTAGTCCCCACTTTGCTTTGCAATCTCCAACACTTTTTAGGATTTGCTAACTTTTATTGATAATTCATTGAAGGGTTTGCAAAGAAGGCTCAACCACTCACAAAAGGATTTCAGATGGCATTGTGGATTGACTCAACAGGAAGCATTCCAAGCCTTATGAGACTTTTTCACCTTGGCTCCAATCCTGGTTTTGTGGGATCCAGAAAGCCAACTTGGATTGAAGTGACACCTCAGGATTTGCCTCAGGAGGGACACTATCACAATTATGGAAAGATGGACTTTGGCACCCAGTTGCATTTCATTCAGCCTCCATGACCCCTGCCAGGTGGAACTACAAGATTGACAACAGAGAGATGTTGGTCATCATTGAAGCACTTAAGGATTGGAGGCACTATCTTAACACCAATCACCAGGACCTGGAATTCTGGAGAATCACCCAGGATTTCAGCTGCTGACAAGCACGACGGGCCTCTATCTTTCTAGTAATTTTTCATAGGTGATTTTACCGCATTCTCTGTGTAGTAATGCTTAGGTTAAAAAATCACGGATTAGCCCACCGCGAGGGTCGAACTCGCAGCCTTCAGATTGAAACGACAGCAAACCGCCTTAAAAGTCTGACGCTCTATCCGATTGAGCTAGGCGGGCATGAACATTTTCATGGATGTTCCATATTCTATATCATGCACAACTTGTCACCTCATCGTACATTGATTCCTTAGCTTACACATCTCTATTCTCTTGTACAAAGTTCACAGCTACCCCTCCGCCAACGATTGCCATTTTCTCTAGTTCCTCCAACTGGGCGGGTGCAGGCTCTGTTGCGGTCGTTGGCGGAGTTGGCATCTGATTCTTTTCGATCAGTGTTGGATTATGATTTTTCAACCTCATCTCCACCAAAAACTCCTTGTCTCTGACTGCCTGCGACCATGATACCAGCATCTCACGAAGCACGATAAACGTATGCGTTAAACCCGCCAGACAAAACAAGCTTGAGTAAACATATGTGACTACGAGAACAGTCAGTATCATGAAAATCCAAAAGAGGAGTAAACTTACAGAGGAATTTATCATCAACATAGTGGCGCACAAGGGGGAAGAAGTAGGCCACAGCATAGAACAGAATCCCTGGCAAGACAATCATACCAATCAGACCACCGGCTACAGGTGCAATGACGTCCTTTGTTGCAGCAATAGGATCTGGGTGTGTCCAACCATTGCGTTTGATCTAGACGTGTGCATAAGCCAAGGTGAGGAATGTGGAAATTCAGAAATGAGAGCGCACGATTAAAATACCCCTCGCTATTGGATTCTGGGCCTGCCTTCTAGTCACACGCATAGCTATCTTCACATAGAGAAGGCCGGTTGCCCAACATTCCAGGACTCTTATCCTCGGCACGCTGATATCCTCGCTCAAGCGAAGTTTGAAAGGCAGTACAAGGTACAGTTCGACGACACCACCAACAAGGGTCGGAATCACAATACCCAGGAAAAAAGCCATATAGGAGGCTTTCACGATCCACAACAACCCACGTTTCAAGGCAAACCACCACAAAGAAGCCCGAGGACCTTCAGTGCCCGACCTCTGTCTTCTTTTGTCAAGACGATCAACAGCTCTACCAACAACCCAACATGCCCAAAGCATGTAGAACCCAGCAATGAGAGAATAACCGTCGTGCACTTCTCGCTTGCCCTTGAACAGAACGCTAAAGAATCCTCGGCCTATAAGGATAGGTAGAGCCACGGATACACCGAGACAGAAAGCACCAAAGGTCCACAGAATAAAGATAAAAAACATCATTCGATAGCGGAAATTAGGTGGGATATAGACACTGGTGAAATCTTGTTTGATGTTATGCTTGGCTTTGACAGTTTCTGCATCCTGTTGTTTCATGAGAGATTCCGCTGCTTCATCGACAGGATCTCCTGCCTCTGTGATTAGCACGGTAGCAGGAATGTCCCTTGGTATAGCAATGTCATCCGTGTTAGGAACGCGCCTGAAGCTCCCATCGCGATCGTCAACATGTACAGAAGCATCTTTGTCCGGCCCATGTATAATGCGGGATAACGACCACACCTTCGGAGTGTACTCCTCCTCTTCATAACGGTTTCCAAAAAAGTATGAAGAAAGCCGAAGTCGCCTAGCCAGTCCTTTCCAAACTGCCATTGTAAATTTCCTAAGAGCTTTACGAGGACGGAAATAAGTCATCGTGTATGGCAATGTGATATTGAGAAATAGCAAGTCAACGGGGATATTAGATAGAGGCTCTCTAAGATATTTGGTAAGTTTCTCTACAAGCTGATACAAACGAAACAAGAACCTGGTTTTCCACCGAAAGGGAAGGACAACTTTTTGACCAATGAAAAGCAGCGCAGAAACGCTACAGACAGTGCATACAACGACAAAGGTATACATGACGCCACTGATGCAGATTTTTCTTAGTTGGACTAGAGCAGCTCGCTCAAGGATGTCGCGTATGGGATGTGCATTCTGATCCTGTGGGTCTTTGATGAACCACATTCCTCCTGGACGCATTATACTCCGGCACCCAGAGAGCAACACGGCGAACGAGTACCTACGACGCAAAATGAGGAAGCACAACAAGAGGTAGGGTGAAAAATGACGGACATGAACATTGTTCCCGCAACCCAATGATAGAAAATCGTCGTTAACGGAGCTTGATAGAGGAATTTAATCCTTGAAGGATATGAAGTGCCAGGGAAAAGCCAGAATGTACAAATATCCAAAACTACACCACATCCCAGAGGAAACGTGACAAGCTCAATGAAAATAAACGACGCAACCTTGTGAACATCGTAAAATGAGACTACGAAGACAATCAAAACAAGAAGAGCAGACCTTGAATACAAGCAGCTGTTGTTTGACCGCTACTCGGACTGCTCGACCTGCAGTTTTGACATTGCCAATAGTTAGAATGTTCATGTACACGGCCAGGGCAGATGCAATGATACAGTAACCAAAAAGAACCGAAAATATCCTCTCGGCTGTTCCGTTACCAATTGCAAACTCCGACAAGATTTTGCTGAGATCTCCATAACTGTCGCGAATTCCTCTTCCTAGAGGTGCGAAATGCGGTTCAACGAGATCTAGAAAGGCAGAAGAATGTTGGGACCAAAAAGATAGGCTAGCGACAGTCTCTGGGGTTGAGACGACGATCTCCTCGGCAGATCTCCCCGCAAGACCCAGCGCACGAGCTACGGGCCCAAAGAAGCTTTCCAAGAGGAAATACTAAATCAAGGTGAGCCCAACCCATAATCTAGCGCGGAGATGAAAATACATACTGTGGCCAGACAAAAGTCTTGCGCTTTGTTCGCTTTCGCTTCTCCAAGTGATTCGGAAACGATTCGAAGAGATAGTTGTACAAGCCAAGATCCCAAGGTTTCGATGAGTTGTATGTGAGGCGGTATTACAACGTCGAAGATGATATATGCCACCAGATCCACAACAGGATCGGTAACTAGACGAATGGCACGAATAGGAAGGTGTAGAATATAAAGCAGTTGCAGTGGCTCTAGCTTTTTTCAAGAAGTCAGACATCAACAACAGGGGTAAGAGATCGACACATAGAACTTACCACGAGAAAGGCCGTAGATTTACCGAGGGTATAAGGTATCCAGATCCCTAATCCAATGACGCTGTCCATGATGAAAATCATCAGAGCAGCATTTTGCAAGAGACCGTATACCGGGCCTCGTAATCCAATCGCTAATCCAAAAAAAAACCATTTGAGCATGGAAACCAACTTTGCGTACGAAAACACTGACCTTCCATTGCTCCATCCATATCGTCCTCAACTCCAGCCTCTAACTCATCCAACAGCAACGCATCGTTTGCGTTCAATGGCTGAGGGCCTTGTTGGGGTTGAGGGCCTGGAATGGGACCCAATGCTAACCGAGGAGGAGGGTTGACGTCAGGAGGAACCGCTCGTCGGGCAGCGGCTCTGGCCTCCAAGGCGGCGGCCTGGAGCGGAATACGACGTCGTCGCTGTATTTCTTCTATAACTGCATCTTCTCCGTCTTCGTCCCCTTCCTCCTCTTCCTCTTCCTCCTCTTCCTCTTCGTCTTCCTCCTCCTCTTCATCTACTTCCGCGCCTACAGCATTTTCCTGGTCATTTTGGAGGATGACAACGCGAGGTTCCTGATTCTGTTCCGCGATCTGCACCTCCGGTCCAAGTGTATCTAACACCGGAACTTCCTCGTCACTCTCCACCACCACCTCCTCCTCCTCCTCTTCTTCTTCTTCTTCTTCTTCCTCATCCGAACCATCTATTGCTTCCTCTTCATCTCGGAAATACGTCCCCATCTCGTCCGTTTCATCTTGATCCGGAATCGACGGCGATGCACTATCTTCGCTTTCATAGACCTCGTGTCCGTCAAATGCATCTGTGTCATCGTCGTGGTCGCCCTCGGTAATTTGTTCACCTACTGGGCTCAGGGTATTTGTGGAAGGACCTGCGGAAGGACCTGCAAAATAACCTTCATTTTCCAGGTTGGCTAGCTCTTCTGGCGCTCGGTAAGTAGCCAAGCTAGGAGAAGCAAGAGGTGTTTTGACTCTTGGCGAAGAAGTTCCGGAGCCGGGAGAACTGGGAAGTGTAGTTGGAAGTGGTGGACGACGTACGGGCGTCCCAGGTGTGGATATACTGGCACCGAGGGATAGACTAGTAGTAGAAATTGACGCAGGTGTGGATATACTAGCATTATGGGATAGACCGATCGTAGACATCGACGGTAGAGGTCCAGCGTCGACTTCAGAAAAAAAGTTAGGATCTGGTGAGATTGGTGTAGATATAGAGGGTTCGATGGAGGTACTTGACGACTGATTGTCAAAGCTTGACCCATGAGAAACAAATGAAGACGATGCCGGAGAAGAGGCCGCAGATGTAGAGCCTAAATCGCGGTTCGCAGTGTACGCAAACGCAAATGGAATATTTCCATTTGGGCGCTCAAGCGCGACGGAAGGAAAAAATGAGGATGGCGGGGACGGGGAATGAGCAGAATTTATTGCAGGTCCCGGCGGAGTTTCGGTATTGGGGAAAGCAAATACCTGGTCTTGTCTCCTGCGACTATTCCCATTCTGTCTGGCTAGTTGCAGCCTTTGATTAAATCTACGCCTTTGCATCCTCTCTAACCGTATGCGTCGAGAGAGCATCTTCCCTTCAGCATCGTCGTCGTCGTCTACTTCTTTTCCCTTGCCCTTGTCCATCCTGCGCTTCCTTGCTCTCTTGGTTGCAATCTTGTCCAATTCATGCTCGTACTCTTCGCTACGGATAGGTGTAAATTTTATCGCGGAGCGTCCATTGAACTGGGCTCGAAGTTCCCTCGCCCTCTTTTCCTCTTCGGTTAACACCCTCTGTTCTCGTTCGACAGCTCGAAGAGCATCCAACGCCCGTACAGCTTCAAGTTGACGATGTGCTAAGGCAAGTCGGGCATTGACGTCCATTCGTTGAAAACCTGGACGCCGAGCTGCGGGGAGTGCAGGTTGAGGATTGAGTTCTGGAACAGGTGGAACTTCTAGAATGTCCTGTCCAACGTTTTCCTCATCATCAAATTGGCCCGGCCGGGCATTTTGGGCAATCCATTCTCGAAGAAGAAAGATGGCAACGAAGGTGATGACTATGAGTGCTGCG